ATACCAGGATCGTGACATAGCAGTGGTGACGATGATGCGGCTACACTATTCCAAAGTTATTGCTGTGATCATTGATAGTGTTAGTCCAGAAAATCGTGGCAGTCTCATTCCGGATGAAAAGAAGCAAAGCCTATTTTATCTATTCATCGGCTGGCGCAGCAGAACGATAGCAGCAGATAAAAAGAATAGGGAAAATGATGTATGTTTTCATGTTGCTGTTCTATGCATCGCTATTTATTTAATCTTTTTCATTAAGGTTGGTTCATACGTGGAGCAAAAGGCGGCCTTAGCTATGACACGTCTAGTCAGCTGTGGTAGAATATTTGAAGCTCAGAAATCTATTGGTGAAGATGGTTATTTATATGGCTGGTTAGAAAAACTTGTGTCAAGTGCGAATACTACGGTATGTTTATGTTGGAAATCACTTTTATGGTCCTTTTTCTCTTGTTTATCTTTCATAATATGCTCTTTCTTGTTTGAAATTGCTTACATCTCTTCGATGGTGAAAGTGTTTTTCAACTGAATCGTCTTATTCAAGAGTATCTGAAGTAGTACGGAATATCACGCAATCGAGCCACCTGCTAGACTGGTTAATGTCTTAGTGCTATAGTCAGCCAAGTGCTGTTGCTGCGAAATGCTTTCGAGCTCTCGTGCTCGTGTTCTCACTGTATTATAGATCCCAACTGGTCATCGACTTGGAACAGTAGTCAAAACCAGGCGTAGAGGGATTGCGCAGCTGCTGTGACTGCACAAACTTCGCTAAAAATGCTCGCTGAGGTTATCCTTCATAAAGGAGAAATTAAGTGGTGCGCACTTGCATATGCTGAAATTGAGAATTCAAAAAAGTACTCAAAGTTGAAGTTCAGTAATCGTAATGAACCAATCACGATCAAAGTTGGGATTTCTATGTGTTCGAGGTTGTTCTTCTGCATAGCTATGATTGTTCGCAAAACAAAGCACAAAAAGCACTTTTTTCAAACAACTTTTCAAAATCTAAGTTCAAGTTCAGTAATATGTTCAAAGTGAATGGTTAGATAACGAGTTCATGCCAGTACACATAGACATTTTATACGACATCACTAATCATGTATGGATATGTGACTGACAAGGTCGCGCCAACAGGTATATAGCTTGTAGCCAAGATGTAGGTTAAAACCTTAATGTGCCTGCGGCATTCTGCTCGAAGGAAACCTTTATGAGGTCATGACCTTGCAACGCGAAAGAGGAAAAACATGTAATCGAGTACATGCACCGTATTCAAATACAGGCAAGTCTCTAGTTTTATCCCACTGATGTAAGTTTGAGAACAGGCGTCTCCAGTTCAAACCGCTAAATTGTGATGTTTAAAGTTGGTTCGTAATTGTGTCCTGCCTGGCCTTTTACGCAAAACAGACTTTGTTAAGAAATGGAGGACCTCGAAAACATAGAAATCCCAATTTTGATCGTGATTGGTTCATTACGATTACTGAACTTCAACTTTGAGTACTTTTTAGAATTCTCAGTTTCAGCATATGCAAGTGCGCACCACTTGATTTCCATCCTTTCTGAAGGACAACCTCAGCCAGACATTTTTAGAGAAGTTTGTGCAGTCACAGCAGCTGCGCAATCCCTCTACGCCTGGTTTTGACTACTGTTCCAAGTCGATGACCAGTTGGGATCTATAATACAGTCGTGTTCTCTCTCGCCGAGATTTTCCGTGCGAATTTATATCGCGGTTGTCACAGATGCTGCAGTCCATATGATTGAGATTCTCAAGAGACAATTTTTTTACAAGTGAGTCTTCCTTTTTTAAAAGGCGTCTACCGAAGGAAACATGGCGTCTTCTCCAGCTGTGCAGTTGAAATCGCCAGTAGTTACAAATTCGCACAGTCATTGTTTCCCTATTAATCAGCAGGCTGTTTGTCAGAACCTTGCCAACTCGTACCCTCATCCCACTATCACAATATTCAGCGGTAGGGGATTTTTTGTGTGCTCATGTGTTTGGTATTCTTTGATCTTCATCCGATTTTCAGAGGTTTCTTGCCGTCTTGAAAATGCTCGTAGTCAGAACCAGACGTACCTTATCGCTTTACTGCTTTACTGCTTTGTTGTCGGTTTTGTAGCTGCTAAGTTTTGTTTTGCAATTTGCAGGAGATTGTTTGCAGTTAATCTGAAATAAATGTCTTGTTTCTTCATTCTTCTATCTTCTACCCACAAACGCTAGGGGTGAGAGGGAGGGGGTAAAGAACGGGGTTGAGGGTCGCGCTGAACTCTTACCCGGGGGGGGGGGGGGGTCGTATTCGGCTAATTTGGGTGGGGTTTAGAGACATAATTGGGGTTTGGAGCTTAATTAGAGCTAATTACAGTATGCCGCGGCAGACTTGCGGAGCAGAAAATGGCAGGGCTCCGGAGCAGAAAATGGGAGGTCTCCGAAGCAGAAAATGGGAGGTATCCGGAGCAGAAAATGGGAGGTATCCGTAGCAGAATATGGGAGGTCTCCGGAGCAGAAAATGGGAGGTATCCGGAGCAGAAATGGGAGGGCTCCGGCGGACGAGTGGCAGACCCACCGCTGGGAAAACGCCGCGACCCTGCCATTTCTCCGGCGGAGGGGTCCTATTCGCTGTCTGAGTAGTAAGTATGTAACAGTGGCGGACCGAAGGAGAGGCTTCCCCTGTTCTGGGATGGATCGCGAAATTTTTGAAATTTACTTACTGGGTTGAAATGTGCAAATGATTTGTTTGTTCTTGTAAATAATAAAATTATCTTTTGAAATACCTTAAAAATTCAAATTAGCCTTGTAAAAAAATTTTTTGGGGGCGTAGCTGCTGACACGCCCCCTTTTCCTAAAACTTAGGGATACAGGACAGCAAAAATGTTAAGAAGCACCCGAAAAATTGTCGGAGTGCGTGACTAACCCGCCCCCAAAAAATTAGCCACGCACCTTCACTTAAAAAATTTTTGTCTCCGCCCCCCCCTCCCCTCCCCGGACGAAAATCCTGCGACCGCCACTGGTAACTAAGTATTTAGCTAGAGTTCCCCCGAAAAAAGCTCTAAGTGAGATTTTTTATCCATCTACCATAAATCCATCGAAACCCCTTTTTGGAAGGTTATTTTCAAGTGGCTATCGTGATCAACGTGCGGAATTAGCTCACAAAGCCAATTTTCATGAAATCCTGTGATTTTGGGTAATCTAACATTAAAAATTTCCGCTATACATAACTGTAGTGAAAAACGCGCAATGTGATCGTAATCAACACACCGCGTACCGCCACTGAGCCAACCAATTTCAAATCTGTTACGGGACTTTGGCTTTCACCAAATTCCTACAGTAACTCTGCTCCATCTCTCCGCGGTGAAAAATGATTACCATATCCGAATTAGCGCAGCGAATAGCCCCACCAGACCAAGTTTCAGTTAATGCTTGAATCTTGTCCAACTGCCGTATCCTTAATGAAAATCTCGCTATATGTGCGAATGGTGAAAAATGAATATCATAGTCGTAATCAGCGTGCCAACTAACCCCACTGTACCAAGTTTCAGCAAATTTTGTGACTTTCGCCCAACCGCATTCCTACCGCAACCTTGTTATGTGGACGAATGTCGAAAAATGAGCATCGGATTCGTGATCAGCGTGCCAAGATTTTCACTCGATTTAGTAATTTTGGCCTAATTACCGTATAGCTACCGTAATCCCGAATTGTAGCCCGTAGCGAAAAAAGAGCATCGGATTTGTGATCAGCGCGCCAAAAAACCCCACCGTATCGAGTTTCAGGCAATTTCGTGATTTTCGCCCAACTACCGTATCTCTACCTTAACTTCGTTATGTGGGCGAATGGCGAAAAATGAGCGTCGGGTTCGTGGTCAGCACCTTCGAAAACTCCGGGACCAAAATTTTACAAAATTTCAAATTTTTGTGTTCAACGGTGCATCATGATACACCCATCATGCTTGATGAAACCGCAGCAAAATGTACCCCGGAGGACTTTTCAGCTGCACCTCTGCGTTTGCACACTACTTCTCTTTCTCTAACCAAACTCGGAGTTAACGCGCACCTGAACTGCGCGTTAACTCGCGTAGCGTCTCGCGTCGGACGAGTTACGCTACGTTTCCATACTTGGCATAAAGTACGTCTTGCGGGGTATCCTGCCATATCACCCTTTCCCCAATCTGGTTTTTTATGCAGATGTTAATGGTCCCTGGAAGGTGCGTGTTAGCTCAAAGTTAACTCTGAGTTAACTCTGAGTTTGAGCTGCGCGTTTCGACAGGTTTACTACCGACCCGCGTCTCGAAAGGCCACGGTCACTTGCAAACCTTCCCCTGTTAGTAATCCATCCTTGTCAGAGCAGAAGCAACAACTTTTAGTTGTACATATTTTTTGCTTTTATAACTTTGAAAAAAAATGAACATTTATTGAATTGCAAAGTGACGTGATAACGATATTTCTGTTTCTAAGATATCTCCACTGATATGATGCTAATAAAGGATAAAGCATTCGGCGTCTGCAATACTTTCTGCGGGCATGCGCCCAACGCATTCTATTTCATAGTCAAATAGGCTGCTAAATGAGTGCGAGCCTATTACAGTTCACTCTATTACCGAGCCTCCATGATTACTCTGGTACCAATTCACCAGCCCAGGAGGATAGAGGGATTGGTTGGCCCAGGGGCGTGATCGAACCTGGGTCTAAACTCGTCATAGCGGCGCCTCATACCACTACGCACCCGTCCGTCTTCACTTATGATATAAAAAGTTATTTCACAACAAAATTTTTTTCGCTCACAGGAAGAGTGAAAAAGCAAGCATGGGAGCCTTCCGTTTGTGTAGTGGAGCACCGTACATGGGTTGAACTGGTTAATATGTGACAATGTCGATGACCATTTCTAGCATGAAGTAGGAAAACATCACGAGTGGCTAGGTACAATACAAGCAGTATGGCGACGACTTTTTAATCCTACAAATTCCACCATTTGAGAATGAGATTTGCCGGAAAGCGCCTCGCTAGCGCTGTAGAATTGAATATATCATTGAGTAGTTCAGTTTTTATGTTAACAACTTTATTATATGTGCCAACGAAGTTTGAACGACCACGTAAATACTAGGCCAAGATGCGAGTTTACAAGAACCTTTTTTTTTACAACCATTAACCTTTGACACAAACGTAGTTCAAAAATCCATGTTACATGTAAAGGTTTCTTCAATCACGACATAAAATTCTATTCCCGTCACGCACGAAGACGTCAACGAGTTTTGAGTGGTACATGATGTCGGTGTGAATCTAAATTAACGGTATAAGTATATGATTCTTCAGTTGTTGAAGTGTAACAACCCATTGATACTCACTTTTCGCGAAACACACTTTCATAGGCAAAACATCAATTCTGTTAGTAATTGTTTTTTGGGTATCTTGATCCCTATCAGTTCACAGTAATTGAGGGTGCATGTGAATTAGCTTGCGGTATAGGTGAATAAGTGCTTCACTCGTGGATTTATAGATTTATAGCTTTTATTTTTTTATCTCCTTACAAAATTAACACTGCACGAGATATTTATGCTACTTTGCTGAAAAGTGATAAAGCACCACCGTTCATCTATCACCTTGATGTGCTAGGTTTAGTTGTTGTATAAAGCAAAATTCCGCAATGCTTTCTCGTTTGAACTAATATCTCACCTGACAGTAAAGTAACAAAATGGTCAGAAGTCGAAGTGGCCAATTCAAACAAGCTGCATACCATTCGATGCAGCATGGAATGCTGATTACAAACTGTCTTCCATATGTGCAGAGCGCCTTTGTAGGCAAAGTTATTTGCTACTTTACTGCAAAAAAAATTGTGCACAAAAATCATTAAATTATGCACGTTATTGCTCTTTTAGACCACCTTTAGGTACGGGTCATTTGAAGATCCAGTTTCATGTTTTGGTCCGACACTGAGCCGAAATTGGCTTTGTATGGCGAAGTTTGCCCTTTACACGCACAATTTTTAGCAAAATAATGGCCTTTAACGGCTTATAATTTCACCCACAAAAGCGCTCTGCAGATGATTGAAACAGAGACAAGATATATTCAGAGTCAGCGTTTTTGCAGCAACGAAGTTATGCAGTTTGGTTTTAGCCACTTCGATTTCTGATCATTCCCTTGTAAGTCAAGGAAAAAATTTATGGATGTCATTTTTACAAAATCCTCTTTTCCCTGCAGTTTGTTCGAGAAACATACGAGACAAGTTAGTTGACTTAAAGCATACCCTAAAAACATTGTGACTTCTATCGCGGGCCAAACGATGTTCGTGCAAAAATGAGAATTTTTCCTGTAAAGTAACTTTTTTACAAAAGGCTTCTTTCCAATTTACATGCGAGACTAAACTGCTACAGTGATGCATAAACTAACTTTCTCATGAGGGAGCATGTTTAGTTGAAGTAGCTTTTCTATTAAGTCAATAAAAAGATTTTTTCCGCTTTTTGCCCTTGTTGATGTGAAATTTTAACAGAGTGCCAAAGGGTGACAGGAGTGCTATATATTCATCTGTAGGGGAAGTCTTGTTCCTGAGGATTCCACCAAACTTGGAGAAAACGCATTTTAGGAAAGTTCGTGCGACTTCAGTTTCGACTTATGAAAAACGCGATCCTCGAATTGCATTTTCTGAGCTCAAACTTGAATGTAAGGCAGTTGGAAGCCATCACTGCGCGCAATGCATTTGCCAAGGCTACTCTTTCTGATGTTAGTGCAAGTATGCTTCAAAAAGTTCAGACCTAGAGAAGTGAAAGCTATGTTTGCAATTTTGTGGAAGGCGTTCCCGCCCTATAAGCGAGCTCCCAGAAGGTTCTTTGAAACAAACAAAAATTGCTGCATAAAATTATTAGCAGGCGTTGAAGTGTCATATATACATTATATACCCATTGAAAGCCACCTTCGCTAAAGCTGCAATACCGAAAAATGTCAGCGATAAATATATACAGGGTGTCCCAAAAAAATGTATCGAACGTTTGATCTTTGGTAACTTCCCTATATGGAAAGCTTTCGCGGATCTTTGAATGTCATACGGTAGAGCTGGGTTCAACTTAGATTTACAATATAAAGCGAATCACTGAATGCTCTTAGTTAAATTTTTTGCTTTTTTTCCAAAATTTGACTGATTTATTGACGAGGACAACGTATTTGGTAAATTTTGGAAAAAAGCCAAAAATTTAGCGTTACAGTGCGCATACCGTAGGAATTTGAGAAGTATGGTAAAGAGAAACCTTGTATTTAGATTCAGCATCCCCGAAAACCTCAGTTTAAAGTCCTTCGGTTTTTTTTTGAATCTTTTAGAAGCAACTCTAGCAAATCTCGCCCGTTAGAAGCTTGAAATTAGTCGAAAATTCCCACCGTAATCCTACAGTAACTAAGAGGATTCGGTAATTCACTTTATACTGCAAATCTAAGTTGAACCCAGCTCTACCGTATGACACTCAAAGATTCACGAAAGCTTTCCATAGAGGAAAGTTATTAAAGATTAAACGTTCGATACATTTTTTTTGGGACACTCTGTATATATATCTTACAAATTGTCGTGCTCGCAGATTGAGGGAGCGTTGGCTCTGCTTTCGTTACTCTTAATTTGATGGAGCATCCTTTCTTTACCTGAGTTATAACTACAGCACATATTGGCCAACTGCGGCTACAAGAAGCGACATTATGGTAAATCGTAGGAGTAAACATTGAAAGCATGGCCAGAACAATTAGTCATTCCATAAGGTTGATGTACTCAAATTAATGTAATCCTGCTGGTCTTGTACGCTATAAACTTGCTAAGATGCGATTGTACTGTAAGAGCAGAATAGTGTGATATCGCTCTGAAGACCGTTTGTCGGAATTTTGAATTGAGCAGAGTTGCACTTATAACTGATGAGATCCTACCATCCTCGTCCATGATGCTGCCAAACTTTTTTATGAAAGTGGTTCCACAAAAGGGATTAACTGCGCACAGAGGTTCCTATTAATTTTTCAAACTTATTGGACCTTCCTCTACCAATCACCAATTTTTCTATTTCTTCGGCGCCTATCAAAAAGTGACAGGGCCTTTTACAACTTAGTTTGTCAAGAGCACTTTTTACCTTTTTTGATTCCTCTAAGATTATTTCGCGAGAGCGGAAAAAACATAGAGCGCTAGAAAAGTGTTGCGAGAAATTTGCTAAACACAAAATTTATTTAGCGGAAAAAGGTTGGATCTGGAAAAAGTTGTGCTCGTTTAAAATTCATTAGTGCATACTTTTCGAAGGACCTGATAGATGGAATGTACTTGAAGGGTGAAACTGAAAAGCATAAGATGCTGATTCCAAATCTGCCTTCCTTACCTGCAGAACGTTTATGAACGAAGAGTGAGCGCCTACTAAAGTAAAAAAATTGAATTAGCAAGTAGGACAAAAATAGCCGTAATACTTCTTCTAGCTTTTCAGTTGAGCACTATTTGAGGGCTAGTAAGTTTTAGCAACTCATTTTTATCAAAAAATGCACATTCAACTTTTACTTCAACAAGCGCTCATAACTTCTCGTTCATAAACGTTCTGCAGATGAGGAAGGCAGGTTTGAGATCATCTTTCATACTCTTCAATGCGTTATACATCCCATTCAAAAAGGCCACTTCCACCAAACAAGCTTACCTTGTTAGGAGTTTTCAGAATTTAAAAGCAGGCTAGTCTATTGGCAATTTTCTGGCACTAAGCTTTAATTCGTGACATCAATTTTGACAACCTGTTCTTGGTGGTTAGATTAATAGAAAGTGGCGACTAAGCATTTATCGCAAAACATTGATCTTCTATTATTCTCAAAAATGAGATATCATATTCGAGTCCACACTTTACAGGCACTTAGGCAAAGTGGGCGCGACTGAGAAATACGTCCCCAAATACACCACGCTCGGCCGCAAATTAGCGAGTGATTTGAGAATGATTCCAGAGCAAATGTAATGCTAAGATGAGCGAAGTCATCTTTAGGTTTTGCCGCTTGGGCAGTGCGCCAGTCAGGACCCCGTTGTCAACCAGGCGAAAACCTCATGAGCCCAGATTTGCTTGGACGCTGCCATTAAAGATATTAAATTTTTGAAGTTTATAGCCAAAAGACAACGAATTTTGTTCAAAGTGTGGAAGAACTTTGTGCCAACTCGATATCATTATAACACTGCATAAAATGTTGGGTTGGTCCCAAATTTCGTGATAAAATATCGCAGAATAGTGGCAGACAAAATCTTTTTGAATTGTATCCAAGCGACTATTCCTTCAAATAAAAAGATTTGAATTTCTCGCTATTATGTGCGCAATTGTGGAATTAAGAAAAACGGCAATCGAAGGTACTTGAAAAACTGACACAATTGGATAGATCATAACGGAAGGTCTACCCAGAAAACGATTTCTAGGAGTACCGGACGTCAACTGAACGGAAAAGGCTATTGCATCGCGAAGGAGCTCTGTTTGCTGGTCCTCAGCTCACTATTACTCCTAAGTGAAAATCCGATATTGCTTAAAACTAGACAATTACAAATAAATTGGAAACTGCAAGAATCTATTGTACTGAGTTGGTGCAAAAATAATGCGCTTTTTCTAGTCTTTGTTTCAGGACAAAGTTTTTCATTAAAGTTTTTTTGAATAAATAGCAAAATATCAAGAAGTTCTTTTCATGCCCTATCCGAGGTTAAAACGGGTTTCTAGCTTCATTTATTAAAACTTGTAAGGTTCACAATTATAGAGCAATAGCCAAAGCTTTGCTCGTCCTTGTTTGCGGCTAAAGATAGGCTACTTATCGTATATATCAACGTATTTTGAAGTGAGTTGCGATCAGTTAAAAACAAGGCTACAGAAAAATTTTTTTGCTTTTTAGTTAATACTAGCTGGCTTACCCGGCTCCGCCGTATGAGCATGCTGATCACCCCCACGGGGGTGATCAGCATGCTCGATTACCCCCCTGTGCCAACTCCCAGCCCCGTAGCTAAAATTTTGCAAAAAATCGATAAAATCGATATCGATCGATGACGAAAAGTAGCCTATGACACCCGCCGGGGCCCGAAGTGTATGTGTGCCAAGTTTGGTCCCGATCGGTTCAGAAATGGAATTTTTTATTCGGAACATACGTACAGACAGACAGACATACAGACAGACAGACATACAGACAGACAGACAGACAGACAAACAGACATTCAGCTTTATATAAAAGATTGTTAAGTCGTAAAGAAAGCTCCCGGGCACTTGCGAAATTTTTTTTCAAATCGCTGTAACTTCAAGCAGATTAATTTTTTTGAAGCTACAAAC